TAGATGGTGGGCCCCACACTTGGATCTCTCTGGCCCGCACACAGTCCCTCAAACCCACCATCTCAAATGAGCCAACCTGTGCACCAGGCAAATCGGGGCGATGGCGTTCCAATCAGACGACTACCAAATAGATCTGCTACAACCTCGCCACATCAGAGCGGCATCAGGCCACAAATTGGGTTGTCGCCACTCCGAATCCACTAGATCAGGGTGCCACCTCACGCCAGGGATGGGAGAGGCGCATCGAAGGCGTCGGCAAAGTCAAAAGAGCGTCGACATCTGCTGAGCATGCCGGTGCGCCTACTCTGCCTTCGTCGTAGTCGCCATGATGAAGGTGAGAGGAGGTGGGGATGGCGAGAGACACATAGAAGTGGTGAGAGAGATAGAGGGCGGTGGGTGAGTGAAAGAGAGAGAGAGAGGGACTTGGACAAAGAGAGGGTGGCAACAGCATATATTTTAGGGTATGGTGTAGGGTCTCAAATGGATCATGGGACTTCTAATAGAGGCGGAGCTTTTAAGAGGTCCACCTCTAAAAATAGATCCTATTTTTAGAGATAGATCTTTGAAGAAACCCGTCTCATAACTTCTATTCGATTCACAATTGGTCAGGTTATATGCATGTTTAGTGTCCAAAAGTCATATAAAAAATATTTATGTTTTCATAGAATTTTTAGTACGACATTGATTTGGTTGCAATTCATACATACACGATGCATGCGGTAAGAGAAATCTTATGTCAAAGTATAATTTCAAAGGCCTTTTCTAATTGCGATCCTAGTATGCCATACAAGAAAGGTATATATGCAACCTCACATTCATTTTTTTTTTGGAATAAGAAATGTGCAAACTCAACTTTGGATGCACCACACAACGCCTACGCGGCGCGCTAATAAATTTATCTGATTTTCACATGGCCACACCCACACTGCAGTTTTCTAAGAAAAGGTGTGGCACGATCATTTTGGGCCAATTAAGATGAACAAAGCTACAGTCAGTCTGAAATAACACGCATAGCATGTATACAGGGACCACCGCATCAGGAACGCACTACGCCGCTCATCTTCTGTTACAATATACTACTACTAGTAGTATACAGCATAACAGGCTAGCAGACGGTTTGTGAGCCAGCAGATCCTTACACCCGGACCTGAAGATCACACACGACGGTGACCTGTAAAGCGTGGTCCTGATTAGGAGTACTAAACCCATCATCAGATCCCCACAATGAGTCAAGCTAAAATATGAGATACCTGGCGATTGACAAACCACTTTGGAGCTCGGGTATGGGCGTACCCAAAGTTTGCCCATACCCAAATCCATCTATCACGTTCTCCTCACTAGCTCTTCAATCATGACTATACTCAGCCCTTGTTTAGCTAGCGAAATTCGGCAATTTGGGCTACTGTAGCACTTTTCGTTTGTATTTGGTAATTAGTGTTCAATCATTGACTAATTAGGCTCAAAACATTCGTCTCACAATTTTCAATCAAACTGTGCAATTAGTTTTTTTTCGTCTACATTTAATGCTCTGCACGTATCGCAAGATTCGATGTGATGGGTACTGTAGCACTTTTTGGGAAAAGTTTTCGTGAACTAAACAAGGGCTCATTTACCCAAACTTATTGGGTAACGTAAATAAAAGAGTTAAATACACCAACGGTCCTCAAACTTATAAGAATGTGTCATATAGGTTCATAAACTTTAAAAATATATTTTTGGATCGTAAACTTGTTAAATGATGCACTGCAGATCCATGCTAGCTACGTGGGTGCTTTTTTTCATAACGTGGCAGAGTAGCATGACATATGTTTTACATTTAACTCTTTAAAAGTATTTTTTCCTTAAAAATAGACCATCTCTCCCTCCTTTGCTCGTCGTTCTTCGCCACGCGCGTCCCGTGCTTGTCATCCCTCGTGGCCACACCCACGCTCCTATCGTTTGCCCCAGAGGCCGCGGCACTCCTGGCACCCATCTCATGGGCCTGTTTGTGAGCTGGCCTCGAAGGATAAGTGAGCCTTAAGCCCCTTTGATATGGCTAATTCAAAATGGTTTCATCGGTGAAGCCAAAGTCGGTGAAGCCAGAAAAACTGATTTTTTTGGCTTCTAGTTCATTTTAACCCCGGCTTACAAAACGACTTCACACTATAGTGCCTCGATTTACGCAAAATAGATGAAGCCGAAGCCGATATAAGCCGTGTGCCAAAGAGGCCCTTAGTATTCTCAAGTAAACCAGATTAGTGCAACTTCGTTTTATTTGGTGGACTTGTATCTATTAGACCTGACATGTAAATATGCCGTTTGTTTGCCTACGCTGCGCTAGAGGGCCCATGCACTGAAGTAGCTTCGGAGCGCGAGCGTGCCACGTCCGGGAGAAACGAATCTCAATTTCATTCCCCGTGGCCTGGCTCCAGGCTACTTTAGAGTTCATGCAGCACAGGCTCCTAGGAGGTTTATGCAAACAAACAAAACAAACTGCACCATCCGGACCTGTCCATGGCCTTTGTTTAAGCAAACAAACACGTCCATGTCCATGGTGTCTCCGTTCTCCTAGATCTGACGCCATGCCATGATCATGACCATGACCACGTTGGGCTGCTACACATTCGTTCTCCTGGATTTCTATCACAGCCAAACTGTGTAGCCAGACATGCTTGGCTCTGGGGTTCCAAGCCTAAGCCGTAGATGCAGGTGGTGGATGTATTTTTCTTACATTTTTTGATTCGACGATTTAGCTGTGGAATGATAACAAGTGTAAAGTGTAGATCGAAAACTTTTTTACAGGTATTATTCAGGGGAACCCATTGGCTAAGGCAATGGGCAAGACTGCAGCGGCATGATGATCTTTGAGACCAATTGACCCTTGCTGGACAGCATTTGGAGACGTCGGCATTGTATTTTTTTAGTTCCAATGGTGGTTGTCATCTAGGTTTATTGGTCTATAGTAGTCAGGATCTGCTTCACGCTTTGTTATCCTCGAGTCTGGTTGATAGACTCGTTTTGGTTCTTGTGTGTCGGCCGTCGGCTCAAACTTTTTAATAATTGGTCTGATTCTAGAAAGCTGAATATAAACTACCATTTATTAAAAAAAAAGCTGTGGAATGATAAATAACAGAACACTCTCGTTGCCTAGCGGTTCCCCCGCTTTGCTACCCCGCCGATGCTAACTCCTGAGGGGCTGCCACAGGGGACTTCAAAGTGGCTGCTTATACGATTTTCTTACCGTATCAAAAGGTAGCTTAGCTCCCTGTCGCAACGGCCCCGTCCGTCAGCCCTCGGCGGCCGAAAACATTTGAATGCAACGTACCTCTAAAACACGGACGGAGCTATGTGGGGGCCAAACTGGATCCTGGCCCCCCCCCCTTCTCCGGCTGCACTACAGTGGTTTGCATGTCGCTGCATGTATGTAATTAATTTCTGCATCTCTCGTACCATGCTTGCTGTTGCTGATCAGTGGATCACAGCTTACAAGTATGTAAATCCGTATATTGTTCATTCTTCCTTGACAGAATTTCAATTATTCATTACAGTCTATATAGATAGAACTTGAAAAAATAAAGATTTTCCATAGAATTCCAATTGTCTATACTACTATTGGTAATTACTGTAGCAGTGTAACTTTGAATTGGCCCCCCCTACACATTCATGCAAGCTCCGCCGCTGCTCTAAAAGTAGATAAAACATTTAGAATATACATTTGCAATATAGGTATAAAACACATGAAACATCCAGATTTGCTTACTACCAAAATGGTGGAATTCCCCTGGTATTTTTAAGTAGTAATAAAACACCACCACTAGTCATAGCACAAAAAAATCTCACTACAAGGTATTTAGTAGGAAAAATTTATACTAAATTTGAATGCTAAAATAATAGGAGAAAACCCACCTCACTAGACAAGTCTAAAATTTTGGTTGTGGCTACTTGCAACATGAAACCACCTGCTGCAACATAAGATTGAAACAACTTCAATATTTGGAACATATTGTTACAACATATGTGTGAAACATATGCAACATCCAGATAAAAAAGATTGCAACAGACGTCTAGAAACACATGAAACATTTTGAACAAACGCTTGCAACATACTTCTGAAACACTTGCAACATATGCAACATCCACGATCTACTTTTGCAACATCAAGATAAAATAATTGCAACATATATTTGAAACGTCTGAAACACTTGAAACATATTTATGCAACATAGGGGAGGGAAGGTCGGGCCAGTCGATTCCGGCCATCGGAGCGGGAGTTAGTGGAGAGCCGCGGCACGCGAGAACCACCGGTACCGGGCACGCTCGTGGGTGCCCTTGGCTCGGCCGGGGAAGATCTGAGGCACCACAACACGTGTGCCCCAACAGTTGTGGTGAGGTCAGCGGCGCGCCCCACGGCGATGGGCGACGGACGAACGTTGAGGGAGCGAGTGACGCAGGTGAGCGACGTAGGGAGCAAGGGCGCACGCGTGACTGGCGATGGGGGAAGGGCACAGTGCGGCAGCCCAACGAGCGTGCGCTGGAGAAGGGGGTGGATGGATGAGCTGCCACGCAGGTGAGCGGCGCAGGGAGCGAGGGCGCGCGACGCGACCGGCAACGGGGAAAGGAAACGGCGCGGCAACCCGACGAGCGCGCGATGGAGAAAGGGCCAGACGGATCAGCAGCCACGCTGCCTTTGGGGCTGGACGGATAAGCACGAAGGAGTGGGGTGTGGGCTCAGGAACGGGCTGATATGCGTAAGGAATGGAGAGGTAGTAAAGTTACATAGATAACATCAAATTAAGTAGGTAGTAGCTTAATAACGGCCCAAATAATTAAACACACCAAGAATGATTAACGAGAGGGCGGCGAGAAGTGCCACAGCTCCACGCTGACGCTGTTGTTGACGCCTCTGCTTGGAAGCACTATAAATTCCATAGCATCGCACCCCTCTCCAAAGCAGAGCAGCTCCATTGCCGCGCTTGCTCACCAGTCACAACACACGAGTGACGAGCACAACACCGATCGCCATGGTCGGCGGCAACCTCAAGAACATGGTCGTCGCCTTCCTCGTCCCGCTCCCCTCCATCCTCTTCTACCTTTCCTTCGTCCGCGACGGCGGGGACACCGGCGCCAGCCCGCTCTCCTCGTGGTGCGCCGCGCACCCTCTGCTCCTCGCCAACATCCTCTTCTTCCTCAACGTCGACGTCCTCTTCTGGCTCGTCGGCCTCCTCCTCTCCAACCACTGGGTAAGCAAGCACTAGTCGTTTCCTCCACTCGCGCCACTTCCTTGTTGGCTTCACTTAATCAAGTCCCCACGGATTCTTTTTGAGTCCGTTTCCACTGCGAACACGCTTGCCCGCAAGGTGTTCGACGCAATGCTTGCCTACTCGGTCCGTGCTTATTGTATCATCAACTTTGCAGCTCATTGACCTGTACTGGACCGTCATCCCTGTGATGCTGCTGCACTACTACCGCGGCCACCCTGCGTCTGTGGTGGACGCTGTGAGGTCGGCGGTGGCCGTGGGGCTCACCTGGGTGTGGGGCGCCAGGCTCACGCACAACTACCTCAGGCGGGAGGGGTGGGAGTTTGGCAAGAGGGAGGACTGGAGGTTCAACGAGATGCGTGGCCAGTACGGCAAGACCTGGTGGTGGATGTCATTCTTTGCCGTCTACTTCTCCCAGCAGGTGGTGATTCTGTCCACAGAATTTGCATTGTGTTTGAAGAATCACAGACAGACATCACGAAACCGTTCATAATCTGTTTATTGGTATTCATTCATCCTTGTACAATATCTAACAACCTAGCTAGTTCTGAATTCTATTCAAATGCCTGTTGGCTGACAGGTGTTCCTGATCGGCATCTGCCTGCCCATGTACGCCATCCACTCCAGCAACCAGCCATGGGGCATCTGGGACCTCGTGGCCACAGCCGCCTGCATTGCTGGAATTGTCATTGCTCACTTTGCCGACACCCAGCTGCACAAGTTCGTCACCAGGTATGAGAAGCTGAAGCAGTTGGGTGAGCCAACCGTCCCAACTCTTGAGGATGGCCTGTGGCGATACTCGCGCCACCCCAACTACTTTGGCGAGCAGCTCTGGTGGTGGGGCTTGTACCTCTTTGCCTGGAACCTGGGCCAGCGATGGATGTTCGTCGGGCCTCTTGTCAATAGCCTGTGCCTTGGCTACGTCACGGTGCTGGTTGAGCGTCGCATGCTGAAGCAGGAGCACCGTGCTGAGGCGTACAAGCTGTACCAGAAGAGGACATCGGTGTGGATCCCTTGGTTCAGGAAGGCCGTCCCTGAATCGAAGCTGAAGGAGACCTAAGGTCACAGTGTAGTCTATTTGGGCCCTGCCCCTTGTTCAGGTTGTTCACCATGTTGTTGTTCCATCCCACCGCTATGTCTAGTATTTGTCAGTTTCATCCACTATGTGCAATTAACTTTATGTGCATGAAGTGCAGCTTGTATCATGATGACCTGTTTAAGGTGTAAGTTAATAATAATGTATCTACATTTATTTGCCTGGTCTGAACTGCAATTTTGATTACCAAATCAAGCTAGTTACATTGTGGTCATATCCTCCCTTTTCTCCAATATTGACAAGACAAATGTTTACATCCAAGATAGCTAAATATGTTATTGATTCTGTTTATCCACAACAACTGGCTTGTTGTCAGTAACAATCTTGGTTGGTTCCATCTATTCAGTCTCATGGTCTTGGATCATCATAACCAAGTACACTGATGGCAGCCAGGATCATGCTCCTCCACCACCTTCTGAATGCCACTGTCTAGCTGGTGTGTTCCCAAGCTTTGTAGACATTTGAAATGCAGTTATCTTTTTTGAGAAGGGATCAACTACTGTTTTCAGTATATTTAGGCCACAAGTTTTTTTTTTTTTTTGGGGGGGGGCTTCAAGTGATGTTTGAGTTCAAATATTTTGCTATACTACCCTTGTCTAGACAGGCCATTACATGAGTACTCATCACTTCAAAGTACATTCGTTAAACAGTTCGGAGGGGTACCACTACAAGTTGGCGCATGAATATGAATATATGATGAATTGATGATGATACCCACCCACAAAAAGTTAAGAACATTCGAATCCTCTCTGATGACACGAACTTTTAAGGACTAATCAAATGATTCACTTTGGTAGTTACTTTTAAGCCGGTGTGACGCCTCTGAACTTGTGTTATAGCCGAATGATTACACTGTTACTTTGCAATGTTATTTATCCCCAGACAGCTGCTGCATATGCATGCTTGGCCCAAAAGAAGCGCGGCCTGATATGAATATATATACAAGTTGATGAAAGGGGCCGGCCGCATGAAGCACTTTTGGTTGGGTTGATGATCCCTACATCATTATCCGAGCTGTTCCTGCTTCATCCATGGGCCCCCAGCTCTCCTCTCTCACAGCTATTAGAACCAATCTCTCTTCTATCTCTCTCCCATCACAAATTCAACAAACAGATGCTAAGCACCTGGGTAAACTAATGTATACTGCTCAATCCACCTTGATCATCTTTTGGCACGCAATGATGTCTGATCAACTTTTGGCCGAAGGGAAAAGTGAACGCCGTTTGGGGTTTCTAAAGCCCTGTTTTTGATTCATTCTTATGTTTTTGTCAGGTAAGCTGATGTCTTGATGATTAATTTTAGTGGAGCTTATTTACAGAAAGAGATGAAAGGTGTACTAGGTTTCATTGTGAGGGATCGCAAAGGGTCACAGGTGACAACTGGCGCGGGAAGAATCAGTGTGTTGCATCATGCGTTAAGTGATGCGTGCCAGGTAGTTCTAAATTCTACTTGCAGAATGGACCGGGATATGTCTCATACTCAACAATTCCAGCTAGTAGACCACTGGATTGATCACGCATGTTTGGATTGATCCCCTCCCAGAGTTTGTACAATCCTTCTTGGTGATTCATGACTCAAGTGAACCACTGGTAAAGTAATAAAATGCAAGCCCGCTGGACTACCGGCTAGAGCAGTCCGATCACTACTGCTACTAGTTGCCTCGGAGTTGTGGAAGGAAAGGAACTCACGAAATTTCGAACATTGCCACTCTTCCGCGGAAGACCACATTTCCAAGATCACGGATGAGGCGAGACTTTGGTGCGCTGAAGGAGCTAAGCGCCTGAGAGAAATTATCCCATCGGTGTAATTATATCTTTGCTAAGGAGTTAACGCAGCCATCGGTTGTCGCAAGTTTGCTTCTCCCTATCGTCATAGAAGCTGTTCTGTTGCTCTGTGCGCGGGCCCGTGCGCGTTGTTGTTTAGTTAGGGGGTCGAGGTCGTTTTTAGGCTTGCTGTTTTTTCGTCCTCAATTCTTGTTTCAGTTGTTCTTCTCTCTTTTTTGTGTTTTTTGTTTTCCTTCTCTCTGGTAAGCCCGGCGCTTACTAATAAGTGGGTAACTTATAATGTACTCCTGTTTTCTCTTAATGAAATACGTGTCTACAAGTGGCACGGTCATGAAAAAAAAATAATTATATCTTTGCTTCTTGAGCTTGCTTCAGAATGGCCTGCAACCTAGTCAGACAGAGGGCTGTGCTTGTGCTAGGCGCTATGCCTCACATCTATGTGTTTTCTTTGTAACTTTATTTGCTATTTTTTATAACTCTTCTCTATCAGTACATAGATTGGCAGAACTCCTGCCTTTCTTATAAAAAAAGTAATAAAATGCAAGGTTTGTTCTTAACAAAAGAGACAAATCTCAACAGGGGTTTCATACTTATTTAATGAGGTGATACACATCAGCAAAAATGATGATATGGATAGGAAATTAAGAGGAAAGACTGAAAGAGAGGTCCCGGTGAAACTTAGGTGCTGTTTGGATCAGTAAAGGTAACACGACCGCAAATGTAATTAGAATATGCCGATAACGTTAACAAAGTATCGGATAACAGACTTTTGTTTCACTTGCTGTAACGGTATGGAGCAGCCAGCTGCCAGCAGATCGGCGGAATTGCCATCAGATTATGCAGGGGAGAGAGCGCAGTAGCAGCTTTGTATAGCCCAGTATCTGATAACGGTGGAACTTGACTGCGGGAGGGCGCGGACACGCTAGCGTCCGGACGTTCGGCCCTAGGCCTGCGTCCGCACACTGCTCCTCGTGCCCGGTGCCTGCTCCATGCCGCACGCCTCGCTCACTCGGGTTCCGCGCCACTCAACCGACTCACGCCCCACCCAAGCCGCTCGCCCCTCACGTGGGCCCACGCCGCTCGCTGCTCCCTACGCCCCGCGCCTGCTCCATGCCGCACGCCCCGCTCACTCGGGTTCGGCACCACTTGAACGACTCGCGCCCCACCCACGCTGCCCACCCCCATGCGGGCCCACGTCGCTCGAACATCACCAGCACTGAGAAAGAGGAGACACCGATGCGGGCAACAAAAGACGAGGAGAGATATGCAACACTTGATTTACTTTTGAAACATCCAAATAAAACATTTGCAACATACGCGAAACAATTGAAACACTTGCATCATATGTTTGAAACACTTATAAAAACACCGAAAACGCTTGAAAAGCAATTGCAAAATATATGCAACATCCACATAAAACACATGCAACATATGTGGGACACACTTGCAACATATGTCGAAAAAATAGATGAAACATTTAGAACAGACGTTTGCAAGATAAGTGTACAACCATTGTAACATATTCAACATCCCTATCTACTTTTGCAACATCCATATGAAACACTTACAACATACCTCTGAAACAACTGAAACACTTGAAATATACGCTTGCAACATGTCAGGCGTGACATTCTAGTGGGTGGCGACCACCCTGTCAGGTGAGCCTCAAGGCAGCCGAGCAGGAGGCGGGATGAATGAGGGCTGGGGTGCGGTCACGGAAGAGAGCGACGGTACAGCAGCAACGTCTGGATAAAGTCCTTCACCTGCTATACCCGTCGAAGCGGCGCGTCCCGGATCCTAGATAGAGCGCAAGCGCAGGCGCCGGCACCATGGCGCCCTACACAGGAAGTGCTGACGGGGCACCCAGCAGCGCACGTGGGTCTGGGGTCGAGGCTGGGCTTCCTGAGGAGGCGGTGCTTGCGTGGGTCCACCTCGGGGGTGCGCCTGTCGAGAGCGCCACAGAGAGATCGACGCCAGGCTACGGCGGTGGTTGAAGGCCTCCTACACGGAGCGCGGGACCAGGAGGCGGCTGTCGCCGTCGTCTGCGCGCACCACCATGTCGGGGCTCGTGATGGCACGAGAAATGCCGGCCAGCTCCAGTGTCTCGCTAGCGAGTGTGGGGTGCGGGTGAGTCACCGGGGGTCCGGACCTCGACTTAGTGGGGCGGAGATGCCATCGGCGAGAGATGCTTCGACTGCTGGACTTGGGGAGAGTGGGAAGAGCCAGCTTGCGGTGTGGGGTATTTTTTACCTAAGTACCTGACGGGAGTATACAATACATAACCGGAGGCCATGTCGCATCCGGCGTCTGGACACGGGACGGACGCCCATGGTGGAGCATTATTGCTGAAACAAACAAGTACTAAAGGGATCTGTTACCCTCTGTAACGAAAGTCACGTTATAGTTGCCCGAAACAAAACACTATGTTAGTTGGCACCGATTCCATGCGAATGGAACTGCAAGGAAATTGCCTTGAGAGCTCACTGCCGGTTTCATCCCCACCCGTTTTGACCAGTCCCATGCAATATCTAATCACAACATCATGCAATGATCAAATGTTATTGCTTGCCTATAAAATCATAACATGAAAATGATGAAATTTTGCATTAGAAACATTGTTACAGTGTGTCCTAGAATGCACCCTCACACCGACGCAATCGCTAGTCAATCGGTCCAAAATTTTCTGACAACCAAAAATCAAGTATTTTCCGGGAAGAATATACATGCATAGTCCTTGGAAGATGCAGTTAAGCATCGATCTCAAAACTTGAGCGTGCAGCCTGCACCAAGGAACACGATGATTGAGTTTTTCCCACATGTGTATGTGTACTATACTAGTTGCAGAGACTTCGATCCTTGGCTCATGGATGTTTTTAATCAACAATTACTTCAACTGCACGACTGCTGTTTGTATTTTACTGATTCAGATCCAAATGATGTCAAAAGTGTTGACCTCATGTCTTCAATATATAATTTAAGGAAAAAGTCTACTTAACCCCCCACATTTCATACATGGTCTACTTCACCCCAAAACTATGAAACCGTCTATTTTACCCCCTGAACTTTCCAAAACCGTCTATTTTACCCCCGGACGGGTTGCTACAGTAACAGCGGGTTTACTACAGTAACATCGTGTTTGCTACAGTGCCAGTGGGTTTGAATTTCCTTTTTTTATTTATT